TTCTTCTGCTGCAGCAGCGTCTGCAAGCTCTGCTGCTGCTGCTGCTGCTGCTGCTGCAGCTGCTTCTGCTTGCTGCTGAACTGCTGCAGCTGCTGCAGCAAGAAAAAGGCACGATCAGCAGCAAATGCTGCAGACCGCTCTGCTGACAGCCGCGCTTCTGCTTCTGCTGCTGCTCGCTGCTCCAGAGCGGTGACGCGGGTCGTGTAGTACTGCAGCAGCAGCAGCAGCAGCAACAGCAGCAGCAGCAGCAGCGGAGGAGGAGTGTCACCGAAGAGGATCAGCAACACATCGGGCAGCGGGAAGAAGCAGCAGCAAACGGGGAAGGTGCACGACAGGGAAGTAGCAGCAGCAGCAGCAGCAGCAGCAGCAAGTGGAGGTGAAGCAAACAGCAGCACTGTGGAGCAGCTGCAGTGCGGCGAGCCTCAAATCTTGAAATCCAAACCCCAAACCCTAAACCCTAAACCCTAAACCCTCACCTCCTTGAGAAGCATAACAATATCCTGCACCGGCTGCTGTCCCCTCTGGTTCTGCTGCTGCTGCTGCTGCTGCTGCTGCATCGCGTGGGCCAGAAGGGGAGGGCCCCCTCTCAAGTCCGCAGCAGCAGCAGCAGCAGCAGCAGCAGGGTTAACAGCTGAAACAGCAGGAGCAGAATAAGTGCAGCAGGGCGTGCCAGACTCGTCTGCTGCTGCTGCTTCTGCTGCTTCTGCTCCTGCTGCTGCGTCTGCTGCTGCTGCTGCTGCTGCTTCTGCAGCTGCTGACTTCCTGCCTAGCACAAGCGCCTCTTCGAAGGGGTAGGTGAAGGGTATGATGCTGCTGCTGGTGCTGCTGCTGCTGCTGTTGCTGCTGCTGCTGCTGTTGCTGCTGCTGCTGCTTTTGCGAGAGCCGCCCTCGATGCTGGACCGCGTGCTGCTGAGGTTGCTGCTGAGGTTGCTGCTGCTAGTGTTGCCGTAGCTGCTGCTGCTCCCCTCACTGCTGCTGCTGCTGTTGCTGCTGCTTCTGCTGCTCCTGCAGCTGCTGCTGCTGCTGTTGCTGCTGCTGCTGCTGTTGCTGCTACAACTGCTGCTGTCAGGGAAGCGCGGAGCAGAGCGGAACATCGTTGGTCTCCATCAGAGGTGCGCAGCAGCTTTTTTGCTGCTGCTGCTGCTGCTGCTGTTGCTGCTGCTGTTGTTGTTGCTGCTGCTGCTGCAGCTTCTGCTGCCGTTGGTCGGATGCAGCGCAGCAGCAGCAGGATCGTCCGAAGCACTTCAAACAACTGGCTCTTTCGGAGCTGTGCAGACGCTGAGGGTTTAGGGTTTAGGGTTTGGAACACTAGGGTTTAGGGTTTAGGGTTTAGGGTTTAGGGTTTAGGGTTTGAGTCGGTCTGGCGGCGGCGCGCAAGAGCTGCTGCTGTCGTGCTGCTCCCTTTGTCTTCCTTTTCTTTTTAAATGTGTCTTCCTTTCTTTTTAAATGAATTAAAAAATAATTAATAAAAATTAAATTGCAAAAAAGCAAAAAAGAAAATTTAAATTAAGTTCAAAGGACTCGCGGAAGCAGCAAAACCCTCGCAGCAGCAACTGTCAGTGGGGCCCCAGGGGCCCCCCAGCAGCGCCCAAACCCTAAACCCTAGACCCTAAACCCTAAACCCTAAACCATAGGACCAAACCCAAAACCCTAAACCCTAACACGTGGATCCTAAACCCTAAACCCTCAGTTGTTTACGCTGAGCTCAAAACCCTGATTTCTCGCAAAAACCGTTTGAAGACTTTCTTGGGCAGCGGTTGGTAGTAGAAGCTCAAACGCGATCGAGGGTTTAGGGTTTAGGGTTTAGGGTTTAGGGTTTAGTTTCGCCCATAATGCTTTCTAACGGGAGCCGCTAAAGCGCCTTCACTCCCTCATCAAGTCTTATTCCCTAGCCCTTCATCAATTTCAGTGCTGCTGCTGCTGCTGAGGCTGCTGCAGCTGCAGCTGCTGCAGCTGTGGCTGCTGCTGCTGCTGCTGCTGCAACGGAAGGTCTAGGAGCAGCTGCTGCGGAGGCCTAGTGCCTTCAGCAGAAGCCGCAGGCAGCTGCAGAGAGTCTTTGTAAATAAATAAATAAATAAATAAATTAATTAATTAATTAACTAATTAACTATTAGGGTTTAGGTTATTTAATTAATTAATTAATTAATTAATTAATTAATTAATTAATTAAAATAAATAGATATATTTAAAGTTGTGCTTTATTTAATATTAAACGAAGATGAGGCAGGCAAGAGCCAACAGCTGCACCCGCTGCCTGCTGAGGGTTTAGGGTTTAGGGTTTAGGGTTTAGGGTTTGGGTTTGGCTGCAGGCGCAGCAGCAGCTGCTCAGCTTGTGCCTGGACAAAAGCAAATTTTCCTATTCACCCATTCATGCTGTGGCGCCCTCCAAACCCCAAACCCTAAACCCTAAACCCTAAA